TCCATTTCCCTTCATTTTTTTATCTTGCTCTATGAGCCACGTCAAAACTAGATGTCCTGCAGAATGTTCTGCAACATGAAGCTTTCCATCCTTCCCAGCAGGATGTAGTTTTGCTGCCACCAGGCTGGTGATGGCATCCTGGGCTGGCTGATCCTCTCCAGTGGTGGATCCCAGAACGTCAGATGCCAACACAAATGCAGACTTATCTAGCACCATCTCCTGGGCATTTCTTTGTAGGCAATTTAACAAAGTTGGAGAAATAGATTTTAAGAGCTCTCAAGGGCAGGTCATACAGTAATTTTTCTTACTGTATGCATTTCAATTTGCTTTTTTGCAGAACTTACATGATTTCTCATACTGTATGTGCAGGATCTTTGGGACTCGTAAATACAAGACCTTCTTTCTATAATTTGCATTTGCTATGTTAGACAAGGAACTGATAATTTCTGATAGAATGATCTGCTTCACAAGCTTAGTATCATCAATACAATCAGATGCTGCCTGCAAAACCAAATGAGAGCACTGGCCCTTAGCCACTTTTTCAGTGTCAGGCTTCATTGTTTCACGATTACTTTGCTGTCCTTGGGCTGCCATGCCACAAGCAGAATGTGTATGCCACGTACACCACTGCTTCACGGATGACTTCAGTAGTCCAGATCTGAGTTTTGGGGTTGCATATGTAAGGAAATCTAGGAATATTTATGGACTGATGAGTGCTTAATCACAGCTTCCTTTGGAGCCATTGGAGTTAGAACCTGTTTCATCTCTAATGAGCTCTAATTTTTCTGGCTCGAACACCTTGTTCAGAGTTGGGTGTTCTGCAAGCTTATAAAGCTGAAACATGTTCCCACAGAGCTCCTCAGTCAGCATGTTCCTCTGTTCCAAAATGACTGTCACTGAACGCATACTCCAGGGTGGCCAGGGCTTTTGCATGCTGCAGCATCTTCCTCACATGGCCTTTAAAACTTTGTTTATCTTTCAATCTATGGTTCACTTCCATACATGAGAAATTTCTGAGCAATATTTCTAGAATTTTTGGCTTTATTTAATTCAACCAGATCATCTCACAATCCTTCAAAAGCCCATTGGCTCTGTTCTTCATTACCATTCTGAATATGACACTGGATCCAACGAGTTGAATGATGTGCAAATGCAATAGTTTTAATTTTCCTTTCCAAAAGCTTCTGCAAATCACTCGTCAACTTTGCTCTTTTTTGTCACAATCTTTTCGTCTTAAGATCTCCAAGTCTGTTTTTGCTCAAACAGTGTCATATTGGTTTTGTCATTGAACTGCCTGCTCTGCTTCAGTTCTTCTTCTTTTTTGAAGTCATCCCATTTGGGTTTCTTGGATGCTGACTGATCACTTTTACTATCTGGCTGGAATTTCTTCTCGTTGAATATATTTGCCTGCCGGAATTTGTTCTTCAGTCCTTTGTCCCCTTGTTGCATATTCTTGAACTGTTTCACGCCAGTGGTGGCACTTTTCTCAGATTTCTTAGATGTAATCTAAATTTACATCTCCTTACCAACTTTCATCGGAAATGCCTCTGAAGAACTTTAAAACAGTCCTAATAACTATGTGTATGGCATTTGGAACCAATTAGGTTATCCAAGAATTATTAATAGCTCCAGAGAAGATCCTTGTATATGATGGAACACATGAAGTGGTGTTTGTGTGTATACTAGAAAGTAATGTAAAAAGGATGAATTGTGTTTTGATATTTCCTCTTTTAAAAGACATAAAATATTGAATATATTTTAAGTTCTTATTAAATGTAAAAATACAAGAATGTAGAACTTAAAAGGACGAGCTATATATAGTCTGAGAAAATTCAGTTGATTGGAACATTGTATGCTTCCTGACTATTTTAGAAAAATAAAGCCTAATTGGGTTTATTTAGTGACTTATAAATGACCAGCCTCTAGTTTTGGATTATATTTAAAGATAGATTAAGGATGGACTTTTAGTGTAGAAGAAAAGGCAGAAGGAAAACATAGGAAATGAGTATAAAATATCGAAACTTGGAGAGGAGATAAATTGAGTAATTCCTTTTGTTTGGGGAGTGTGAGGCTGTTTTCCCAAGCAGGTATAGTTACAGGGTAAATCCCATTTGGATAAAAGGAGCCCAAAACCCTAAAGAGGAGCCCACAGAATGGCTGGTGGTGACAAAATGTGGCATTAAGTGACCTTAAGAAACCATAAAGAGTGAGGTAAAGTAGACGTGGCACTAATTTAGGACAAGCTCACGACCTGTTTTCCTCATGTTTACCCTCTTTCCTCAAGGTGTTCCTTACCTGGAACAGAGATCGTAGTTATTGCCTATCCTAGAGATGTATCTGATCTTTAATGATAGAACTTAGGTCTTTGTTTTTTAAGAGACAAAGAAGAAAAGCTGCCTCTAAGTCTGCTTGGTTGCATAACATCTGAGTCTAGATTCTTTGGTCTGTGTTGACATAGAACTTGAAACATAGGACCTTTGTGAATAGCAGTGCCCTGGAGTGCTGTGCTTCCTTCCATTCATGTGCTCAAGGCTCATGTGTCAGACATGTAACATCTCTAGTGATTCTAGGGACTTCCCCTGACTTCTCCATAGGCCCTTGTGTCAGGTTGCTGTCTTAGTGACTTCATGATCAAAACTCCAGGCTGTCAGCAAGCATGGCTGGTGTTGAACCGGGTTCTTCATTATATTAATAACTGAATAATCTTGGGAAAATTACCTAACCTCTCTGATTCACAATTTCCTCACTTTCAATTAAGTGTGGAGGGCTGTGGATGTAGCTCGGTGGCAGAGACTTTGCTGAGTATACACAAGGCTCTGGATTCAGTCTCCAGCACCACACACATCACCCTCTCACAAACAGAAAAGCTATGTATCAGTTGTAACCAAGTAAAAGTGAACTATATTAAATTTGGGGTAATGATGGCAATAATATATACCTCAAGGTATATCTAGCTTTAAAAGGCCTTCGTTTACCTTTTAGCACAATCTCTCCTCTAGCACCTTAGCAAAGGCCTGCAAAGAATGGATTATAGTATATACTCCCCAAATATTTGCTATGTGCGTACATGCAGTTGCAAAATGTTAACAATTAAAAGACAAACATGTAGCTATTGTGCTCACTAGAGTTTGTCCTGCTTTGACTGAGCCAAGGAGGGGAGTCTAAACCCTGTGATAGAGTAAACCCAGAGGAGCCTCCTGGAGGCAGTGCTCCTCCACTGAGTCCTAAAGAATATACAGTTGGCCTCAAGAGGAAAAGAAAGCTTAAAAGATGTAGAAACTCTTTAAGATATTGCCTCTGGCCAAACTATTCAAACAAGGGCAATTAGTTAATGACTCATTTTGTTGGTACTTATATGGTAGCACATACTGTATATAGAATTTCACTTTTTCTCTTATTGTTCTAGATGGTATGAAACTATAAAATATGAAATTATTCCAAAGAGGTAGAGATTCTTATTAATTCATACATATATATACATATACATATACATATACATATACATATACATATATATATGTGTGTGTGTATATATATGTCTTTGGAAAAATCTAGTTTAAATCCAGTTTAAAAATAACATATAGCTCTCTGTTACTGAGTGGCTATGTGACATACATGTCATGATCTCTGTTTAGGAATTAACTCATCTAAGTCTCATAAGAAAAATTTCTTTTGTTGTGCAATATGATAAAGTTAATAAAAAGCAGAGGTAGGGTTTGAACTCAATACTGCCAAGTGCACGTGCTTAATTACCATACTAAGCAAAGGTTTATACTAATTCCTCACTAAAAATACTGTCTTGCTTTCATTTGATATGATTTGAAGCAATAAGAGATAACTTCATTAATGATATCATTCATATTTTCTTTCTGGGGGTATTTGTAAACTGTTACATAAAATGTTACGATTTAGATCTTTCTTATGAGGATGAGCCCATCACCGGATTTCTTGCTGGTCAGCACCGTTCTCCAACTAAAAGTGCTTTCGCATCCACATCTTTGCTTTCTCCTCAGTGGTATAGAAAATACTTGAATAATGCATATTGCTTTCCGTATTCTTTCAACTGAACGTTGCATACTTAAATCATTAAGATAGATTCCTGGTATGGAATCAAAACCTTTTTGTTTTTAAAAGAACAACACTATCTGTAAACACGTAGTTAGCCAGTATTTAAACGGCCATGTGATGCTGCTGCTGCCCCAGTTTGGTACTGACATGGCGATCAGGTCACAAGACCACGGTCTTCTGTCCTTTGAAGCCCAACTCTTCAGTCCTTTCCCTCAATCCCTCTCTTTGCCCACATCCCGTGATCCTCCGCGGGCCACAGTGTCGCACACCATCAGGTTTCCACTAGTGTTTTCCCATCAATGTCATATTCTTCCAACTCAGAGACTGTAACTGGCTATGCCAGGAAATAAAATAGAGGTCACTGCAGTGGCAATGACTTCTAAGCTGTTTGCCAAATTTAGCTGTTCAGTACTTTCCACTCTAATGAAAGCTGTGAGCTCCAATTATAGAAAGTTGAAACAGAGTGGGAGCTTAAGGTCATTGAATCCAAGTCCCATATTTTTCTGTAGAAGCTGTAGGGGCCTAGACACACCTATGGTTTGCTTGAGCCCACAGGATGGTGATGGTGATGGTGGAACTGGAACCACCTTCTGCTCAGCCTGAAGGAATGCAGAACTCAGATGTTCTGCCTCCAAGAGTCACCGCAACCTAACCAGATCTCTAAGTATGCATATAGCTGATCTTACTGGCTGTGGCTTCACCTCCATGGTCATTCATTTCTTGGTGGCTGAGGGTAAAATAGCAAAAACGTCTGATTTTTAAGTTATTAGAAGAGAAATAAAATGATTGGAGACCCAAACCCTCCTCCCAGCTCTAAAAACTTCCTGCTCTCTGGTCATCAATAATGAATCTTCAGCCCTGCAATACTCAGAGGGAGCTTACACTGCACTTTTGAGCAGCCAGTTAGCAATGTGCAGTGGAGAGAGCCTTTTCTTTCAAATCCCAGGGCAGCCGGTCCTTCAAGGCTAGCATTGCATTTTCAATTAGCTGCTGAGTGAAGGCTTGGCATGTGTATTGGTGAAGAGGCACACAGTTAGCTTATTGTTCCTCTCCGTATTGTGCTGAGAGGATCCAAAGAGCTGGTGGGGAACAGGCAAGCCAGGCGTCGTTGTGGATGTTGAAGAAGGGAGTTACTCAAACCTCGGCACCTTCACTTGCTCAGGCGGGAATTACAGCTGTTGATTACAAAGCCCTGTGTGTGGCTTGGCGGAGTGTGCGTAAGGAAGTACATCACAGATACCACTTGGGGTTAGGTTTTTGAGCTCTTTCCATTTTTGACGAATTCTCATCATTATCATGGAGCCCAACAGCCCCAAAAAGATACAGTTTGCTGTGCCCTTATTCCAGAGTCAGATTGCACCAGAGGCAGCAGAGCAGGTAAGTAGAATTGGGTGGGGACAATTCCTAAATGCCAGGTAATTCTTATTCATGAGAAGGTTCTCTACATTTTGAATTTGTGTAACTTTTAGGATATGTGAAGGAGAAATAGGTTGGTTTCTATGTGGATTTGGGTTACGGTTGGAAACTTTAGGCTCCAAGGCAGTGTTTCATATAAAATTAGCACTCATTAGGAACAATAGTTGTCAGTTCTCCAAATTTGGATCTATAAATGTTTGCTGTTATTAAAATAACAGGTTCAACATTTAGAGTAAGTTTAAAAACAATCTCAAAATTAGCAACATTTTATTTCATTATTTACAAAACAAAAAGATTGATGTAACAATGAAAACATGAAATCTCCAAATAATTTCAGTTTCTAGGATTAATATGTTAATAGTTTTCATTGTGAACCCCAAATGGTAATTATATATGTAACAGTTAATGGATAGGATTTGGAAGTATAATTTTAAAACATTTTGTTTGGATAGTACAAACAATATTTCAGCATTCCTTTTTAATGTCTAATATTGGTTACATCTGTATTACCTTTCATTTTTAGATTTTGTAGACTCAAAGCAGTGGTACCACATAAAAGATCATTTGTGATAAAACTACAAATGTATCGTACAGGGAAGCAAAAGCCATGGAATTTATGGGAACATCAGTCTAAATCATTAATTTCTTATAACCAAAATTATTGCTGAATCCTTTATCCAAATATTGATACAGAATTTTAAAAATAGTAGTTGAATTTGAGATCCCTGACTTTGAAAGATATTTTGACAATCTAAAGTAGGTACACATAGATTCAGGCCAGATAAATACAACCTTGCACATACATCTCTGCTGAAAGGAACATTGCTTCTGTCTTGGAGAAGATATCATTGGTACATTTTAGCCTTTATCTTACTGACACATACTTGAGGAATTTAATTATGAGTAATTATATTAATGAAATAATGTGTATCTGAAACAAAAATTTTGAGTCAAAATAAGCTTATATAACTTTTAAAGAAGAAAAAACCCCGCAAACTTCTTACTTTTAAATAAATTACATATTTTTATAAAATTCATATGCTTTTTAGGTGCTTTAAATTTTATGCTAGAAAATAAAAGCTAATATTAATTGAAATTTAAAACTCATGCTACTAATTTAAGTATGACATATACTAGAAATCTGAGGTTTGCAAGTCCCTCTTACCCATTTGGAGATAAAGATAATGGATCTTAAAAGCATCACCCATATAATGAGGTTCCAAGAGAGCCATTAAAATCAGAAAGTCATCCCCTTATCTTTCCCGTATCGTCCCTGTGTATATTAATTTTCAGTTACATCACTTGATTATATACAATGATTTCTTTTCTGTGGAAATGTCATTTTGTAATCAAAGAAGTCAAGAGGAATATCTGACAGTTCTCTCGCTGCCTCTTCATTCTTAACTATAATTAGCAAGGACATACTGTGTGTTCTCCAGAAGTTTACTTTTGCATGCTGGAAAAAAAAGAGAAGGTATTTGCTTTGCAAGCTGTAATCAAGGCCGTGTATGATTGCTGCTGACATTAGCTGGGCCTTTGTTGTTCACAGATCAGGAAAAGAAGACCTACGCCAGCTTCACTCGTGATTCTCAATGAACATAATCCCCCAGGTAAAGAGCATGGTGTCCTTTGGACTGAGGGGACAGAATAGGATGGTTTCAAAGCCATCTGACAGTATGTCTTTGCTAAACAGTTTGAGTTCTGAATTTTAATCAGAAATACTCTAACAACCAGTAAAGTGGATCATAAACAAGATGAGAATTCAAATTACGCAGGGTCTGTCTCATGCAACGCCCTGCTTTTCTTTAAGAATGACACGGGAGACAGGAGTGATGGTATGCAGGGAAATGTTTGGTAGCATTGGTTGTCATGTGTTCAGGTGTTTGTGTGGCATCTGGTTCAGTGCTTATTAATGACTCTGGTGAAAAGTTGTTTAATTACGTTTCAATGCTCAAATTACAGCCCTAGAGATGCTTTGCTTTTTTTTTTTTTTTTCAGAGTAGGTTTATTATTTATGTCATGGGGTGGGCAATAAACCAGCATAGGCTAGAGCTCCACTGCTGATGTCATCTCTGAATAATGCAATTGACAAGGAACCAGATCAATTTTCAACACTGCCCATTTGAGAACCATTCTGAAAGCCCGCATCCATTTGTTGAGGTTTTATTTTCCATTTCCTGTAAAAAGCAAAACTTCATTATTATTCCTGACAAAGAGCTATGATTTGCAGTACACAAGCATTATTTACTTACTGAGTGGGGTGATTTAGTCCTGCATTTAAATGCTACTTCTAGAAATATAAATGGGACAGGAAAAGTCAAGGCATTAATTTGTAAACTGGCAGAACTCAGTGTCATGTATTTTGCAGGTATAAACAACAGGGAGAATAAAAAGCGTTTGAATAGTAGAAACATAATCCACCTAATTATAGGTTGTGGTAAATGACCTGTTTTAAGAGCACCAGAGTAAAATAGTCCTGACTTCTGGATTCTAACTGGGGAAATACTTGAAAAGGGAGGAACATTCTCAGAGAATATTTATTATTGAACAAAATACAGGAGGATTTACAGCTGATAGAAAATAGTTACGCTATTTATGTCTGCTGAAAACACAACCAGAATTCGATCTTTTACTTTTAAAATGCCATAATATTTTAAACCTATCTTCATATATATCATCAATTAGTAAGTGTATATGTGGTTGGCTAGATGTTTCAAATCGTATGCACTTAACAGTTTACAAAGAAATTCAAGTAAGTAAATAGAGACTAGATCTTCTCTGTTTAGGGGAAACTATCATAATTTTCTGCTGCTGCCTTGCTGTAGGAAATATCTCTGCCATGTCCTGGAAACTCATTTGTCCCCCTGTTCAAAGAATGCTGCAGCCTGATGTCTAGTATCTTTCATATACCACAAGAAAGAGTCTTCCTGGGTTCTGCAGGACTCCTTATTATTTGTTCATGTCGAGGTTGTGCAAGGAGCCTTCATGTAAGAGGTTTTCATTCCTGTAGGTGGCTCTCACTTGGACACCTGAAATAGTTAGCTATTGGTTTCTTGAGCATGAGGAGTGTGCCATTTTACAGATAAGCCAAAGTGACTTTTGTGAAGTTATTCCTCAAGAACTGATGAACTCCAAAGACAAACTCAGATGGATCTGAGATCAAAGTCCAAGCTTTTCAAGCAGCTTGATACACACCTTGAACATTTGAGCTTCTATTACATGGTGATGGTTCTATACAGGCATTCAATCCCTATAAGCAAGCAAACAAAATTTTACATAAATCTTTTATCTGGACCACATAATAGATTAAAGATTATATTTACATATCCCTGAGAAACAGGTACAGTGTTCTCCAGTGACACTTCCCAATTACTAGAGGGCATTACCTAATTTTCCTAATTGACCTCATCCTTCTCTGTGAGTTGTGAGCCCCACTGGAGAGATATTAGATGCATGTAATATCTCACAGAGATGTAACATTTTAGTAATATCGTCTCCCTGCATGGTAATCTTCTTTTATGGGTAAGAGGCTGATCAGCCTCCAACTGTGTACAGAGCTCATATCAGTGTGTATGGGAACCAGCGGCTTTGGACTAATGATGAATTCTTCCAGCAAAAATCCCTGAAAGCTTATAGTTTTCTTGGAAAAAAAAAAGACATAGGACTGTGGCTCTGGGGAGATAACTCTGAGGGTCCCCAAGGCAAACAGCAGCGAAAGAAAATCAAATTTGGGTAGTGGTCTTTATTAGTCTGTGGTCTTTGTTTATGTATAACAGAGGGATTATAATGTATATTCTTCCTCACAGAGTTATGACAGTCATCAAAAGAGTTAACATAAGCCATCTTAGAAACTGCAAATATAATCATTAGGTGTCATTAGCTGATGTTTTACAAGACTTTTGTGTGTGATATTTAAGAGGTAAGATACATTAGAATAAGAAGAAGGAAGTCTTTATAATTGTATCTGAATTAATATTTCTTCCTTGTTCAGCAATGCTCTATATTCCAAATATTATCTAAATAATAATAGAAAACCTCACAAGTGTTACATGATTTTTTAAGCAAGTTTCTTTTGGCCCTCAAATGCAGTGTCCTTTGACAAACAAAATGGTACAACTTTAAATTCTGGTTAAACTAAATACTCTCTTCAATTCACTGAAATGACTCAGGATTTAATTAGGGAATTTTAGAGTGCCTGCCATTAATGTTGTTTAAAAGTCAAATTCTTGTAACTTTTTTCAGGATTGAACCATCGAGCAGCATCCCCAACCCTTTTTACTTTACTTTACAACAAGGTCTGGCTAAGTTGCCCAGGGTGGTGCTGAACTTTCAATCCTGACTCAGTCTCCCTCAGTGCTGGGATTACCGACATGGGCCACCAGACTAAGCAGTGTAAATCTATCTTTACGGTCAATTAATAAAGCAAAGAAAATTCTTTACTATGGAAATATTGTTATCAAATCCTTTCAATGTTCAGTGATATCAGTGTATTGCAATCCTTATTAAGCAAAGGACATAGGTTACTTTTTTTGTATAGTTTCAGGAGTTTACAGAAATAGTCAATTATAAAACAGTGTAAGGTAACTATATAATTTTATATTTAGATATACGTATATATTTTGTTTATATTTGGTAAAAGGGATATAGAACAGAAAGCTATTTTAACATGTGTATTTTTAAGCTTACTGATGAGATAACACATGACTGGTTGGATTCCAGGGGCTACAAAATGTCTTTTCAGTTCCTTTCTAATAGACGACTTCAAATTCTCATCATCAGAAGCACTTTGGCAAAAGATACATGAATTATTAAGGATATACCATCATCTAATGTAGACTCGTAAATCAAGTTAGCTCAAAACAGTGAGAAAAAGGATTAAAATTTTGAATTGAAGGCATCATTCCTGGAAAAGTCTACTAGCAAAAGGTACAGCTCTATGCCAAAAATAAGCTTTTGCTTCTAGGAATAAGTGTATAGCTAGGTGACAGCAGGAAGATACCAGCAGCCTGAGATTTGGGGCAGTGGTAGTGAATTTTCTAGAGACCAATGCCCAAACTGCAACCCCAAACTCACTTATTTACCCCAGAGTACCAACACTGAAATTAAACCTGAATACTGAGATTTTGCTTAAGAAAAAAGAACTCATACACTCGACATCTTTTGGTTTACCACCACTGGTGTAGGGAATCACCAAGACAATGTCAGTGTCTTCAGAGTCTTTCTTGGGTTGGCCGTGGGAGTGGCTTTGCAGCAAACCGCTTCTGCGTTTTCAGTTCTTCTTCTGATCAAGGAATGATGACATCGTTGGTGCCTTCTTGTGCTGCTTGATGTTTGGTTTCATAATCTGTAGTTAAGTGGTGGTTTCTAGATTTTTATCTGGAGGAATGGCTAGCTGCAAGTCTCCTCTAAGCAGCTATGAGTGGCAAAGAGCTTTTCATAATTTATTCCATCTCATCTATCAGTGTACTCAATCATTACCTGTCTTTGGAGAGTGTGTAGGTGGCTATTAGTGTGCTTTGGTTTGACTCTTGTGTGTCCCTGAAGGGTCCATGTGCAGAAGGCTTGGCTGCCAGCCTGTGGTGCTATTAGAAGGTGGTGGATGTGAGAAGGCTGGACCTAGGGAAAGGAAGCTGGGTCACTGGAGAGCCACACTGGGGCACTGGTCCCTTTCTCTGTCTCTCCTTGCTCTGGGTTGCTGTTAGTGTGCACTTTTCCCCACCATGCAATTCCACTGTGATATTCTGCCTCCCCACAGACCAAAAGCAGTGGGGCCGAGTGACCTCAGAGATGGTGGCCCATGATTGGTCTTCCTTCTTTTAAGATGTTTTATCTCAGGTGTTTTGTCATAGTGATAGAAAGCTGATTAACACATACTATTAGAAATCTAGAGCCAGGAAAGAACAGTGGAAAAATGCTTAATGTAAACCACACATCTTCATGAGATACACAAGCCAATCCAAGTCCCTGAGACTGGCTCTGTCTCACAGAAGAATCCATAATTATCTCTGGTTTTCAACTGTGGGACTGATAATTTTAGAGGTTAGAAAATGCAGCTTTTACACCAAACTAGAGTAAAAATTCTCCACTTTACAACAACCAATCATTTATTCTCTTCAGCAAAAATCCTTTTTCACCTCTTAAAATACACAAAATCATGGTTTACTACTTTCTTTTCTGTATGGAATATCCTCCGTCTTGCTAAGGGCCTTAATGTACTGTATCTAAATATCCTTTTTTTCTGCCTCGGAGCCAGAGCTGGACAAGCCTGCCAGTGAAAAGCCTTCCTAGACCAGGCTTTGTGAATATTAAAGTCTGTGGTCTCCATCCTTTCCCACGTACTGTTAAGCAGAGGCAATATGGTTATAATTATATTTAATGGGCCTGACGTCTTTTAAGCATGAGTGGACTGAAGAGGACCAGGGTTCGGTAGAGATTTAGGTATCCCCAGGAGTTTTGACATCACTTAAAAGCTTACTATACATCTAAAATTGGGACAAGGAACATAATGTGAAATGACTTGAAGGGAGATTTGAACAATTTCCTATCACAGGCAAATTTGGGAGAGATTTGGTTTCTGATTGATATTTTTAGCCTCACACATTCTTGGAAA